GGAAAGTGTGAAGGCAAGAGGAGAAGGGGATGACAGAGGATGAAATGGATGGACAGGGTCATCGAAGCGACCAACGTGAATTTGACCCAACTCCAGGAGGCAGTGGAAGACAGGAGGGCCTGGTGTGCTCTGGTCCATTGGGTCACAAAGAGTCGGAAACAACGTAACGACTCAACCACAAAAAGCATATTACTATGTGTGAGATGGCCAGCATAAAACAAGCGTGCTTGGCATCTGTTTGCAGAGTCCTTGATTATAGGCGGTGTGACCCTTTGGGGAAAGATTCCTTTAAAAAGAAAAAGAAAAAAAACAGGAAGGAGGGAGAAAGAGAAAAGGGCTCGGAAGGGCCCTATCTCACACAAAAAGCCACGTTTCCTTCTTGACACTCACCAGCCGCCGGTGGGTCTCCCCGTTTTTTTCAGCCGAGGAAGAGATCACCTTCCCCCCCACCTACCGCTACGAGAGGGGCTCCCGGGACACCTACGTGTGGCACAAGCAGAAGCCCACAGGGGTAGGTGCTGAGGGACTGCGGGGTGAGGTGGGATGGGCGGACGGGCAGATGGGGACAGAGAGAGGGAGAAGCTACAGGTGATGTGTGGGGAGACTCCGCTGGTCTTCCATTTACTCGGACGCCCTGAAGGCAGCCTTTTATAAATTCCAGCCTAGAAAGGGAGGGTTGTGCCTCTGGAGGGCTTGAAGGCTATTTTCACACACACACACCCCCATGGCCTGTTTTAGGCTGGAGATAATCCTGCTTCCCCCTCCCCAAAAGCGGGTGGTGTCTCTTTTTTCAGCAAAAAGTTGGGTGCAGCTTGGGTGTGTTGGAAAAAGGGGTCCAGACAGTGGCTGGTGCGTCTTTATGTGAGCGCTCCAACACTGGAGGCCTTCGGGGGGGGAAACTGGACCGCCCTCTGCTCGGATTGGGATCCCTGCCTTGAGCAGGGGGGCTGGACTGGATGGCCTCCGAGGCCCCTTCCAGCTCCGTTATTCTAGGCTTCTAGGGGGTGGCACCTCCTCAGTCCATGTGGCTGGCTCCCCCCCCCCGGTGTGGTCCCAAATTGTGGCCTTGCTTTCTGCATACAAGGCTGGGCGTCGCAGGCCGTGGCTCTCAGTTCCTGGCTCTCTTTACTCCAGAACAGCATCCATGGCATGGGGGGGGGAGCTGTGGGCTTAAGAAAGTGCCATCTTAGGTCTCCTCGGTGAGGTGCAGTCCCTTGCTGAGGCATTCCGAGGGCTCCACGGCGTTCCAGGCAGCCAGGAAGCCAGAGTCAAGCTTGAGAGGGACCCTCGGGGCTTGCCAGTCGGGCCAAGGAGGGGCTGACTCTGTGTTTTGTCTCGATTCCCCTCACCTTCCCTGCCCCAGGTGAGAACCAACGTGCCCTCGTGGTGTGACCGCATCCTCTGGAAGTCCTACCCGGAGACCCACATCAATAGCAACTCCTATGGTAAGTGGTGGCATAGAATTCTAGGCTATGGTCTGGTCCTCCTCCGAGGAGCTGCCGGCCAGGGTGGCGCATCTTGGAGCATGAGAATCAGAGGAGCAGCCTTTGACCAAACCAGCATTGCCAGCTCTGACCGGCAGTAGCCAGGCCTCTTTTTTTGGGGGGGAGGGTGTTGTTGGGGGGGATGTTTTCCTTGCCTTGCCTTTTCCATCCAACCTCCCTCAAGTAGCCTGATCCAAGGGGGTTGTGGCTGGGATTGGACCGTGCGCTCAGGATCTCTCCCTTTTTTGGTTCCCAGGATGCACGGACGACATTGTGAGCAGCGACCACTCCCCCGTCTTTGCCGCCTTCGAAGTGGGGGTCACCTCCCAGTTTGTGTCCAAGAAAGGTATATTTTTGTAGTGATTTTTTAAAAAGAAAAACAAGATTCTAGTCCTCCATGTGGCAGTGAGCTAGCAAATCCCAAGAGCGAAGACTGGGGATTCCTCCAAGGCTTTGCCCCCCTGCGACCTACCTTCCTTCCCTCCGGCCGGCAGGTCTCTCCAAGTCTTCGGACCAGGCCTACATTGAGTTCGAGAGTGTGGAAGCCATCGTGAAGACCGCCAGCCGGACCAAGTTCTTCATCGAGTTCTACTCCACCTGCCTGGAAGGTGGGTGGCCAGAGGGCTTTTTAACCTTTCCCACTCCTCCAGAGGGTTGTTCCCGGTCCTTGTGGACTAGCCTCTTGGGCCAGGCTGGTGGAATGCAGAACGTGGGTTCCTTTATGGCAAAACTTCCCAGGCCCCCAGAGCTGACCCAGCCTATTTGGATACCCGAGGCAAGGCAGCAAATGACAGGTGGACAAACGAAGGCGTGTGATGCCTAAGAGCACGCCAGGCAGAAAGCACGCTCAGCCAAGTGCCTGCTGCCAGAGGCCACTTCCCCACTCCCCTTAATGGTGGGGCCGGCCCTCCCACCTTCTCCTCTCCCTGCTTTTTACATGCCCACAGGTGGTGGAAACCCGCCCCTCCATATCCTTTGCAGTAGCCCATCATAAACCCCTCCCCCCAGTGATACTTGTCAAGGAGGACTGGCAGCCGCCGGGCTCGGTTGCACGTTTGGGATTTTTGTTGTTGTTTGTTGTTTAGTCGTTAAGTCATGTCCGACTCTTTGTGACCCCATGGACCAGAGCATACGAGGCCCCTGCCAGAAGCCGCCTATATATACCCCCACCTTTGGCTTTCCCAGAGCCTTTCCCACTGAGAACCTATTCTGAGCCCTTCCGAGAGTGCAGTCGGAGCCTGGAGAAAAGTTACTTTTGGAGTGGCTGGACCTCCCAGAATCCCCCTTGCCAGCAGGCATGCCTGGTATTCCCTCCTTTCTGAATGTTTTTCCTTGGAAACATCTGAGCCTCGTGGTGCAGTGGTTAAAACCGCTGTCCTGCAGCCAAAACTGTGCTCACGACCTGGGGTTCAATCCCAGGTAGCCGGCTCAAGGTTGACTCAGCCTTCTATCCTTCCGAGGTCAGTAAAATGAGTGCCCAGCTTGCTGGGGGGGGCAGTGTGTAGCCTGCGTAATTGACTTGCAGAGCCCAGAGAGTGCTTGAAGCACTATAGGATGGTATATAAGCAGCACGCTTTGCTTTGCTTAATTTTTTAAAAATCTGAGTAGATCCCTCCCCCAAGGAGCCCGCCTGTTGGCTATGGCATTGTGGGAGCTACAGTCCGGTGGGGGGGGGGACTTTCCTGACCTCTGGGTCTCGTTGCTGGCCGACAAAGGAGAATCCCCTTTCTTTCTGCAAAGTCAGACTCTTCTGGGCTGTTTCCGCCCACGTTCACCGCCTGTTGCTCTCCCTTGAGCTGAGTATCAAGCCTTCACACCCTGTCCTGTGCTTTCTTCTGTTTTATTTTGAACTGCAGAGCTGGAAGGGGCATTTTGGACCATGGAGTCCAGCCTCTGGCAAGGAGGGGCACGGCGGGTGGGTGGGATTCAAACCCCCCAACCTCTGGCGCCGCAGCCAGAGGCCTTAAACCCCTGGAACAATCCGGCCGTTTGTGGCGTCTGACTTGACATGGTTTTATTTTGCTCTCTCTGCTCCAGAATTCAAGAAGAGCTTTGAGAACGACTCCCAAAGCAGCGACAACATCAACTTCTTGAAGGTCCAGTGGTCGTCCAGGCAGCTCCCCACGGTGAGGGTTGCCTTTCCCCCCCACCCCCACCCCGTCCGTCCCTGTCCCACATGGGAGCAGGCAGGAGGTCAGCGGTCAGCAAACATCTGGGACGGGACAGAGGGGAAGGCTGAGCCTGGAGAAATTGTGACGTCGTGGGACTATCAATCCCACAATGCTCTCTAGCCAGATGTTTTTACTCTTGGACGGAGGATTCTGGGAGTGGTAGTCCCCTCACCCCCCAAAAAAGATTAACCAGGGGTCAGCAACTAAGGTGACTGAAGATGAGGACAGCAGGAGATTTTGTGGCTGGAAGCCACCCTCTAGGATTTCCTCCTGCTTGTTCCCTCTGCTAAAATAAGCCTTTTTAGAGATTCTGTGGGGAGATGAGAACGGACGATTCCTGAAGGTTATCCTTCCGAGCAGCAGCTGGAAAAACGGATACCGGAGGAGGTGTGATTTTCTGGTCACTTTCAGGAAACAGATGGATTCTCAAGAGATTTATTGAAGGGTTATTTCGTGAAAAGAATTACTTTCCTTTTAAGGACATGAGTGTCCTAACGGTACCTGAAAACTGGGGTTCAAAGGGAGGTGTTTGTGTTTTTTGGGAAGGATATAGACCCTGCCTTATAGACAGGAAAGGCACAACAGAGAAGGGATAACTCTGCAAAATCTAACCTTATTTCCTTCGTGGCCTCTGTGAATCACAACTGTGGGTGATCCGTGCCTGCGTGGAGCCTCTTCGGAGCCTCTTCGTGGAGCACAGTCCTCGTCTGCTGCCCACGGAGGCTTTCCTGGCCCTTTTGATCTTCAACTTTCTGGTGAGGCAGATATAAAATCCTGACTGGCTGCTGGGCAAGGGAGCTGCTTTTAACCCGTTATGGGGTTCTTTTTCTTTTTAACGTGCTTTTGCATAGCTTTCAGTTGTTTTACTCCGTATTTGTGCTAATACAGTCATATGTTTTATTGCATTTTCAAAGAATCCTAGAATTGTGAAGTCCGAAGGGGCCTCTGAGGCCATCAAGTCTGACCCACCCCCTGCTCAAGGCAGGGGTCCAAATCCAAGCAGGTCGGACCGAGGGTGGTCCAGTTTTCTATTGAATTTTAGTCTTGTCTCGTGTGATATTCTGAGATGCAAGGGCTTTTTAAATATTCTCTAAGTTGCCTGGCGTCTCCATATTGAAAGGCGGTACCGTAAGCACAGAGAGAGAGAGACGTCTGGCATGGCCAAGGTGAACTGCTAGTGTGTGTGTGTGTTTAGTCGTTTAGTCGTGTCCGACTCTTCGTGACCCCATGGACCAGAGCACGCCAGGCCCTCCTGTCTTCTACTGCCTCCTGGTACCGTAAGCACACACACAGAGAGAGAGAGACGTCTGGCATGGCCAAGGCGAACTGCTAGTATTTAGCCTTAATTCGCGCATCTCTAAAATGGGGACAAGGAACGGGATGAGGTCCAGCCAGTGGCTGTGTGGCAGCCCCTGATGGCCAACGTCCCTCTTCTCCCTCTTGTTCCCCACAGCTCAAGCCGATCCTCTCGGACATCGAGTACCTCCAAGATCAGCACCTCCTCTTGACCGTCAAGTCGTTGGATGGCTACGAATCTTATGGTAAGGGCTTGGAAAGATCCCAAGGGTGCGAGGAATGGCCTTGCGCCCTCCCTTGTGAGGGGACACCTATCTGCACCCGAAAGCCAGGGAGACCGTAAGAGCGTAGATGTCATGATATGCAGCCGCCTCTGCTTTCTTCGGGCCAAACTGCCTGCAGAGATGATCGATCCCTTTGATGGATGAGGAAAGATTTCCTTGGTTGGGTGGCATTCCCAAGGAGATGGCCCAGGGTTTCAGAGGAAATGTCACAGCAAGCTTGCAAAGTAAGTGAGGCTCAAAGAGAGAGAATTGTTCAAGCCTTTTGAGTTTAAGAGGTTGGGTGGCATTCCCAAGGAGATGGCCCAGGGTTTCAGAGGAAAGGAGCATAAATGTCACAGCAAGCTTGCAAAATAAGTGAGGCTCAAAGAAGGTCACGGTGTTCCGTGTCTAGTCACGTTGGCCACGTGACCACGGAAATGGTCTTCAGACAAACACTGGCTCTACGGCTTGGAGACAGGGATGAGCACCGTGCCCTAGAGTCGGACACGACTGGTCTGAATGTCAAAGGAAAACTTTACCCTTTGAGTTTGAGAGCGGAGCAGGTTTCCCCGCTGTTTTGTGGCAGCAGAGGGTGGGGTCCACTCTGCCATATGGGCCACAAGACCCCCTTAATCCCAGTCTCTTTCCTCTCCCAGGCGAGTGCGTTATCGCCCTCAAGTCCATGATCGGAAGCACCGCCCAGCAGTTCCTGACTTACCTCTCCCACCGCGGGGAGGAGACAGGCAACATCCGCGGCTCCATGAAGGTCCGGGTCCCGGCGGAGCGCATGGGGACGCGCGAGAGGCTCTACGGTGAGGAGGGAGGGGGGGAGGAAGCCATTCCCCTGTTGGGCCGGAGCGGTGGGTGAAATTCAGAATCAGAACCGGACGGATTTCAGGGGTACAGTGGCCCGTTTTGAGGGTCCACCATGTGCCACCTTTCCTCTCTGGATAAAATTGCAAGCATTTTGTTCAAGTCAGGTAGGACTGTCATAACACAAGAGGAAAAAAGGTGCGCCATATTTTGATCAGCGTTGCCTGTTTTGTGGCAGTTCCCGGTGTTTTTGGCGCATTTTTACTGCTCCTCTGTCCATGAAATTCAGAATCTGAACCGGACGGGTTTCAGGGGTGCAGGGGCCCGTTTGGGGGGGTCCACCATGTGCCACCTTTCCTCTCTGGATAAAATTGCAAGCATTTTGTTCAGCTCAGGTAGGACTGTCATAAACACAAGAGGAAAAAGGTGCGCCGTATTTTGATCCACGTTGCCTGTTCCCGGTGTTTTTGGCGCATTTTTACTGTGGTATCTGACGTCCCCTCTCTGTCCATCCTGGGCAGAATCTTGAATCTCCCTGGCACGGAGCTGGTGGAATTGGCAAGAGGGGGGTTGGCAGAGGGTGGGGTCCCAGACCCCTGGTGGCAGCTGGGTCCCATGGCTTTCGCGGGGGGGTGGGAGCAGAGGAGAAGTGCTGCCCCCTCCTTCCCTCCCCCCCCACACTGAGTGTGCTTTTGTTTCTGCCCACCCACCCCCCTTACAGAATGGATCAGCATCGACAAGGATGAGACGGGGGCTGCCAAAGGGAAGCCGCCCCCACCGGCCTCACGGACCAACCTGGAGCACACCAAGTAAGGGCTCTGGCCGCTT